GTGCTTGGTATGAGACTCAAAACTTCACTAACTCTCCTTTCTCTCCTTTCCCCTTTACAAAGTGGAGATTTTGACTTGCTTTTGTGAATGAATTGCATAGCTGAGTGGTGGAAATCAGACACCGAAGCTGTGATCAACGAAGCTCTTAAGTCAGGATTAGCACCAAATGTCTCTGATGCTCACACCATCAATGGCCTTCCCGGATCCATATCGAACTGCCCTACACAAAGTAATTCAACTAAGAACCTAACCTGTTGGGAAGCAATAAACAGTTCTAATTCTCTTCTTTTTGGTAATCAGGAGGCTTCACATTGCCTGTTCAAAGAGGGAAGACCTATTTACTACGCATAATCAACGCTGCACTGAATGAAGAACTGTTTTTCAAAGTCGCAGGTCACAAGTTAACAGTTGTAGAAGTCGACGCCACATATGTCAAACCATTCAAAACAGACACAGTTCTAATCACTCCCGGCCAGACCACCAACGTCCTCTTAACCGCAGATCGAAAATCTGGCAAATACATGGTGGCCATCTCTCCATTCATGGACGCTCCGATCGCAGTCGACAACAAGACTGGCATTGCCACCATGCACTACACCGGCACATTGGCCACGTCCCTGACAACAAACACCAACCCCCCTCCTCAAAACGCAACCCAAATTGCCAACACCTTCACAAACTCCCTAAGAAGCTTGAACTCCAAAAACTACCCTGCCAAGGTTCCATTGACAATCGATCACCACCTCTTGTTCACCGTTGGTCTTGGAATCAACCCATGTCCCTCTTGCAAGGCCGCCAATGGAAGCAGAGTAGTGGCCAGTATCAACAATATAACGTTTGTAATGCCCACCACCGCTCTTCTACAAGCACATTTCTTCAAAACAAAAGGTGTTTTCAGCACAGATTTTCCAGGAAACCCCCCTCACAAATTCAACTATTCAGGACCCGGACCTAAGAATTTGCAGACTACAAGCGGAACTAAGCTCTACAAATTACAATACAACTCCACAGTGGAATTAGTTCTACAAGATACAGGAATCGTAACCCCAGAGAACCATCCCATTCATCTCCACGGATTCAATTTCTTCGAAGTCGGACGAGGGATCGGCAATTTCAACCCTAAAACCGACGCTAAGAAATTCAATCTCGTGGATCCAGTGGAGAGGAACACAATCGGAGTTCCGTCTGGTGGATGGACGGCAATAAGGTTTCGAGCGGACAATCCAGGTAAAACGGATTCGACTCCTCTTTCGATTCTTTGTTTAAATCTTAAAGCATCGAAATGAATTCGACCGATTCAATCGGAAAACAAAAACAGAAATTAAAAGAGTTCGGATTTGACCTTTCAGGAGTGTGGTTTATGCATTGCCATCTGGAAGTGCATACGACCTGGGGATTGAAGATGGCGTTTTTGGTGGAAAATGGGAAAGGCCCCCAACAGTCGCTTCTGCCGCCGCCGAGAGACCTCCCAAAATGCTAATCCACACGAAATGATACACCAATAATAAAGGAATGAAATTTTGGTTTGATACAGATTATGTAAAAATTGAGTCATTTTATATTATATAGTTCATCATGCGAATACGGTATGGAATGGAAGTAAAATCCATATCATGATTATCTCTTCTTTTTACTGCATTTATTGTAATCCAATTATGTGGTTTTCCTATCTGTATTATATATACAAAAAAAAAAAAAAAAAAAAAAAAA